AGATGTTGCAATTACTTCAAAAGTCCTTGCAGATACTTGAAGGTTAAGAAAACTCTTTCTTCGTGAGTGGTCCCGGACTCATGGTGTCGCGAGGCATAGAATGGTTGGAGCGTTTGTGAAATATTAGGGAGAAGTCGGCTGTCTTGAGAGAGTATGACAAGAGAGGAACAAAGATGTATTGAGTTCCGGGGCCCTGGAGCTTCTTCGATGTGTTGAGCTTTATCTTTTATGATATTAAGTCTCTTTACATAGAAATGATAGCCACGGTAACAGCAAAAAATCACAGAGAAGTTCTTATTCGGATCGTTTTAGCTTCAGTCCGTATTCGTGTTAACGCCCGCTAACGGTGGATAGGGTCTGTAAGTGCTCATCTTCTGTACCACAAGAAATGAGAACATCATCCAGATGTGTACAGGTAAACGGAATGTCTTCGATCAAGTTATCAATAATCCCTTGAAAACTTGCTCGGGGTACAATTCATTCAAAATAAGTAAACGAGTGTATTGAAAGGGACCAATGNATGGGATAACGCGAGCCACGGAGCTACATGTTACAGTTTCTATAGACAGCTGTGGTGAGTCAACCATTACAGTGTGCATCACTCAAGTCAATTTTGGCACCCGCTAGTGTGACAGTGATTACCTGTCCAGGGCAGCGAAACGGTTTATAAGCTTATAATCACCACAAATTCGAACGAACCAATCTGGTTTGCCTGTGGAAAGTGTCGATGTTTCACATTCGTAGCACCAGAATGGGTCAGTTGTTCCTTTATGCTGTGATCTCTATAGGTCTTCTTCTACTTTCAATCTTAGTGCGTTTGACAAGGAGCGTAATCTGATGAAGCGCGGTTGAGCATTGTGCTTGAAAGTTGCTCCGATTCCTTTCCGTTTTCTCAAGTTGCCGGCATACACACCGGCATGTTTGGATAGTATTGATCCCAAGTTCAATTTTGAGACCACTTGCTTCATTGTATCCAATGGATTTGAAAATGCTCATATCCAGTCACGCTCAAACAAGTTGGAAGATACATGCATAAATAGACTGAAAATGCGCGTTTCTCGCCACGTAACTGCACATGAACGTCACAGAACCGGTGCTATCTGACCACTTTATGTTTTTAACGTGGACCGGGTATGTTGTACACAGTTTTGACGCTAACCAGTGACACCAATGCACCGGTATCGACTTCCATTTGAAAAGAATAAGAAAATACTTTAGAATGGTATTTAATAAGGGAGAAGACGTGGATAACTCGATGACATATTTGCTTCATCAAATAAGCATTCGTTTTGTGTTCGTGCTGATTTTATCTTGTACAGCAGCGCCAGGTTTCCAAGTAACTTTCTGTGGGGATGGTTCTGTAGTGCTGCTCTGTAAACACATGCCAGATGCCCAACCTAGCCCTGAATGAATGTTTTGTAGATGACATGATTTTCCGGGCCAATGCTTGCGCGTTGCTTGAGCTTAGTTTTTGAGAAAACCGAGGGATATTCTCTTGATGTCGGACGATTGCACATACCCCTTCTCAGGTAATCTAAACTCTTTTTTTGATAGTAACTTTTCGTTGGTAAGCTCACTTTGTATTCCAGAAATTAGGCACTGAATCGCCATTTCTCCTTCAAATTTGAGACAAAATCGTTGGCATGTACTTCAGTGTTCTGGTGTAGTTTAGAAAACAGTATCTGACGCTGTATGCACTGGAACAAGAACCCTAAAATCTCATGAATTCATTGTACACTTTATCTAATGTATTGCCGTCACGAAAATACAATGCGCTAAAATGATCCATACTTTCATTACCAAAGGATAGGCGAAGGACTTTTATCTTGTACGATTCGGCAAGCATAGTTTGTGGTTGGAGGACCGACAACAGCGTTAGGTAGTCTATACATGTCCCTTTTCGGTTGATTCCATGTGGAACGTGATGACTTTTCCGTGGCTGCGCACCACAATAATGAAGGTGAATGCAGCATAATTGGTTTTATTCCTATCACCAGTTATCTTGAAGCAAAATTCCCATAGGAACGTGAATAGGCGATAGCGTTAGGGCCCCCTAAACCAATCAGAACAAACACGATTACATGCTGATCGGAACCAGGTGAACCACTTGATCAATGTTTGTGAGGCTACATCGATCGATGAACGGACGGCCTAAAACTAGGTCTAGCTGGCTCACAGACGAACCAGCCTGCATCACGTGATTGGACGGCCAGTAGGAACAGATGGAAAAATGTGTTAAATGCAAAAACTCTTTTCACGTTCTCTGTCAAAGTCGCGCTTCCACGTCATTTAAGCCAAAGGGTAGCACAGCATTCTCACGCTAGAGTCCGTTTTTATACTTAGTGAGAAGCTGGATTTGAATCGAAGATTATCTGATGTCAGCTT